TTTTTCTGATTAGACACTAGTTCCTTTCGAGATTTGTCTCCACCTTTTGGTGGAGGTATTCGCTCGGACCTCTCCCCAGCATTCGAGTGATCACTTACAAATTCGACATTCAACAAGTCATTTAACTATTTATGAAATTCAGCTAGCTCCAATTGTGACATACGACACATATTTGTAATAGACGATCTCGTCCCTAATACTAAATCAATTTTAGATCTACCACTCTAGGTGGGGAAGCCTTATGTTGTGATGTTTTCCTTTAGTGACTACAAGGTTTCTATTTGAATTTGCTCACTCGAGCCCTCCTCTTCAATAATGGGAATGATGGGGAACATGGATTCATCATGGGTAAGATTAAGTCTCAATTATAACATTGATATCATCTTCACCCTTTTGGTTATCGGGTATGGATCTGAATGATCGTGTGGTTTGACCTTATAACCACTAAGATTTTTGTTTGTGGCATGGAAATGACCTTGCCTTTAAGAAAAACAATCTATCCCTAACACGACATTGAAATCATTCATCTTGATTATCATAAAATCGGTTTGCTCAATCCCAAGTCTCCAACTTGATTGAAATTCTATTTGCAACTTTTGAGATAGATAAGGCTACAAAATTACAAAATTGACAGTTTCATCGTTCCAGTGTCTTCATGCTAGAGAGTGTTCAAGCATTTCTCTTTGGTCCCTATCATGAAGTTGTGGATTACTTTAGAATTGATCATTCTACTCTTGGCCGATCTATGGTTAACCAAGACCTCAATGTACATAAGACCTCATTCTATTTGCTCTTTTTGTCTCTCCCACTCTCTTTCGCAAAGCAAATAGTACTTCAAGGTCCCCAATGCAGGGGGTTTTGACGCTTGGTTTGGAAGGCGTGTGGAGCCACCCTTTGTGGGTATTCAGAGTCTAGACAGGGCACCTTGCATATGAAGCAAACGAGGGCCCTTGTTTTTAGCTTTTATCGTTATGAAGTTTTTGACATGGATATCTACCTCTCTTTGGGAGGATTCATAGTCTCATCCTCTAGCTTCAAGTCTACTCCCTCCCTTCATTAGGGTTTATGTCCTAAAGTTTTGTAATTAATTATTTAACAATTATTTTATTTATAATTTAATATTCTCTACATCATGAAAAATTCAAGGTGTCACAACTTGAATTTTGAGTTATCGAAACCCGAATCAAGACTAAAAAGATAAAAGCGAAAATAAAATAAAATAAAATAAAATAATAAAATGAACGTAAAACTAAAATCAGAATTAGTCCAACAATACCACAATAAAATTATAAAAATAAATACAACTAAAAGACAACCGTGTATAAATTTATTACAAATGGGGACATGGATTTGGGATATAATTATAAAATGTAATACAAAGACTAAAAAAATAGAATAGTAGCTTGGGAACACCTACAAAATGAGAGGGGAAAGGGGTGAGTAAATAAATATAACCAGTAAGCAACCTATTTATTTGCAGGCTCTCATCACATCCTCGATCTAGTTTGTGATCACGAGTTATACTCTAGGCTCTAGGTGAAGATCTCTTGTGGTTCATAAACTTGGGAGAATACGCAGAGGTAACCGGTGTCTAATGTTTAGGTGATACCTCACAGAACTCTCTCTAATAGGTGGGGACAACATGGTGAGTGCTAACATGCTCGTCACCCATGAGAGGTACCTGGGGAACTCGGTTCCATCTCTTTCAGTCTGGTTCAGTCGAGAGCATTAGGGCTACACTCTTTGATTGACTCTAACGATTCTAATGCGCTTAGACTACTAGAGGCATTCCATCCTAGGTCATTGTGTATGAAAACTGACACTCACAACATCTTATTCTGTTTCTAATACTTATACTCTACATGGAGAATCACCCATTCAATAACCTTGAGTGATTGTATGGTAAATCATGCATATGGCCCACATATGTTCTACGGGGTGATAGTATCCATCGAGAACCAAAAGGCCATAGATACAAATTCTCATCTTCTACTTCACCGCTATTATGTATCAACAATAGAAAAAGAGTCCATTGCATCATGCAAAGATTGTTTAAGTTATGTCAGTAACAAGGGTGACTAATCTCATGCTTATCCAATCGTCCTGAATCTATCCACCTAGGTTTTGTTTTTCTAACATGCATGTGTTACCAAACAATTCCTACAAGTATTACTTTCTAAAATTCATGTGGTTACTTGCATGACTATCATGTGGCTTCCTAAGCTAGATTTTTTTGCGTGTTAGGAGCTCCAAAATTTCATAAATTTCTTTGCTAGGTCTTAATATAAGTAAAATTAAGGTAACTATTGAAATCAGAACAAAAAAATAGTCGAACGAGACAAAAAGGAGGAACTCACGCACCTTCATGCAGGCAATGGTGTAGAATACACATGCCTATACGCATGACTAGCAACATGCGTCTAGATAACATAATTATGCCTATCGCTCAACACATGGTGCTCTAAAAGTGACGCAACTAAATCGGTTTGGCATAACTATTGGCTCGGGTTGCAGGTCTTAGACTAGGTCGCATG